GGTCAACTCCCAACCTTTTCCTGGCATTGCCCTTGCCTTGGAGAGCAAGGTAGAGCCTGTTTTCATGTCAGACCTTGTTCTTTCCTTCCTGGCTTTGACAAGAAGATATCATTTGTCCTAGGGAGTCGCTCCCCAGGCCAAGAGCAGGCTCAGACATGGAGCACAATACGGCAAAGCAGCACCATGAAAGTACATCCCAGAGGGGCCAGTCCTGAGCAAACCCACCACCCACGCAGGGACATCCAACAACCCACCCGGCCTGACAAGAAGTCATCTGCCATGCAGTGATTCCATCGCTTGCAGATGATAAGGCCCAGCCAGTTTTGCTTTGGCAGGATCCGTCCCCACCCTGAAATAAGGCGCAACAGAATATGAAATCCAGGTGACAGGAGGACCCACATCTACTACTACATTGCACAATTGCAAGCTGGACTTGTGTTTGGGCTGTGTCAAGCACACAGGCCAACTTGCAGGAGGAGGACAGGTTTAAGACCATGAATTCAGCTGATTTTACTAGACAAAGATCTGCTCCCTTCCACAATACTGGTCCTTCCCCCAAATTATACACTATATATAATAATTTTATACATACACACACATATACCTTGAGATACTGTTATTATAACATGTCATTACATTTTTGCAAGATTTTAAAAGTAGGCAACCAGTCTGTATGACATGGGTTTTATGGGGGTTTTATTCTGGGGGAAGTAATTTGGTAAGTGTAAATTGATAGTTAGGCTGATGGAAAGCCAGACTGATGTAGGTGAACATTTTTCAAATAGGAGGTAGCTGTGGGTGGGGAAGAAAAACCTTGTATCTCTAAAAGATTTTTTAAAAGCCTTTAAACATAATGTTTTAAGAAGCATCCAAGTGAGGGGGATTTTTAAGGCAATTTTAATAACCATTAATGAAAACATCCATTTTTCTGTTGCAAGCCTGGGTGGTGTTAACCCAGGCCATTACCTACAGCTGGACCCTACAAATCAGACTCGTGCTGCCTTCATGGGTCACAGCAGCTCCTCCACACCACACATCCTCCACCTCCCCCCGATCTGCCCCCTTTCCACAAGCAAAGCACATCTCCACCTCCAGCCCACTGTGACTATCAGCCTCATCCCAGCCCAGATCCCCTCTGCTCCACCAGCACCAGCCAGCATTTCTCCAAGACCACCAAGCCCAGTGACAGAGAAAGTCCAAGCCATAATTTCACCAACCTGTCCATGCCAGGACAGGTCCAACCCTTCTCCCTGCTGCTGTGCCAAAATCCCAAACTAAAAGATAGGATTTTTGCCTTTCCATGTCATCCAGAATTCGGGTTTGGAGACAACCAGCTAAAAAATTATGCTTAGCCAACACTAAAAAAACACTATCACTTAGAAGAGGTATCACCTTTGTGCTTTGCAAGAATGCAGTACAAACAAATACCACAATCTCTACAAAGAAATTCCCCAACACATAATTATCTCTTCAAAAGAGCAAGGGCTTTAGAAATACGGCAAAACTCACGCACAAGCACCTACCCTGCTGTCCTTCACGAGATCATCTCAAATCAGGCTAGGCAGCTTCCTAGGGCACATCTTCCCACCTCCTCCCAAACCTAGGCAACCTGTGAATCCTGCTTTTATAGGGTTTTACCCTCCCTCCTGCAACACCTTCACCTGGTGACTCACTAATTACATCCCAAATGAGCAAGCAGGCACACATGAGAGATTTCTACTGGAAGAGAAGACCTTGCGGCTCAATACAGCTTATTTAATTCTCCATGGAAAGCCTTCTCCTACACATTAGACATTTCTCCAGCCTCCTTTCTGTGCTTTTTCAGCTCATGTTTGAGGCAACAGAGGCCAGATAAGAGCTCAGAGAGGTTTTGTAATCAAAATGTTATTGCTGAGAGAAAATAGAGCCTGTGCAGTGATTAAAAATAAGTCTTCATTTTGGGGAGCAAGGGGAAACACTCAGCTGCAGGATGACCAAGAACACAGTCCCGAGCAGTTTGGGTCAGGCAGGCTGCCCAGCACCCCGTCCCAGGACATGAACAAACTGGGTGACTGGAACGAACTGGACACTGCTGGGCTGGGGCTGCTGGGGGGTTTTGCAGCAGTTGCCGTTCATAGGGTCAGGTGCCATGCTCTTCTGTCCTGAAGTAGAGCAAAACCCCAAACCAACCCAAGAAATCCAGGCTGTTCCTAGGAAACGACAACTTGCAAAATAAAAATCACAAGTTTTCTTCACACTGACACACCATTTTGAATTTTTTTTTTCCTGCAGGTTGGACTTTGAAAGCATTTTATAGCACAGGGACAGCAAACCAGTGACTGAAGATGGGCAGGAAGGAGAACATCTCAGACAATGAGTTGTGGATCCCCATCCCCGATTTGGTGGCATCAGCACATATTCGTGGAACCTCTCCATGTCAGGGAGCTGCGATGAGAGCAACTCCTATTGGGAAATACCCACCCACATCTTTTAGGCACTCCTAACATGGAGTTGCCCATGGCCCTGCCATGGAGAGGTGGGGTTCATGGTGAAGTGATAGTCCAGGTGAGAGCACTTATGGGGTAACCTGGCCTGCAGAAGTGCTTTCCCACTCCTGCATTCCCCCTGCCCTGGAGGAGGACGAATGCCTCCCAGCCATGCTCTGCCCAGTGAGCTGAGATGGCAACCAGGGATGTGAAGGTACCAATGAGGTCTGCAGGGCGTTTTAAGCCAAGAGCTCACGCGTTCGGGAAAATGGTTTACTAGTAACCTGGCTGTCCTGGCTTCTCCAGCTCTCCTTCAATGCTAAAAGCATAGAAACACTGTGGGCAGGTGTAAACATGAAGCAGAGTTTTCTGGTGTACAAACACACATGAGCCCGTGCCAAGAGCTGGCAAACATGCAAAACACTTTTCTTTTTCTCTTTTTGTCCATCCTTTCTCCAAGATTCCTTCTTGTTGTAAAGAAGGTTGTCTGGCCTCCCTTTTCTTTTGTCACTTTGGCTGGGAGTCATCTCCACTGCCTACAGATGTCTGAGGGTTGGCTGTTCACAGCTGAGCTAGTGCTGCACAGTCCTGCTGTGCTCCGTGGAGAGCCCCAGCAAGCCCCTCACTGCCACCTCAGGTGGGAGCCAGAGACAGATGCGTCACCCTCCAGATCCCCCAATCTCTGTCCATCGGCCACAGAGGACCCTCAGGGGCCAGTTCAGAACCAGACCAGAGAATGTTTGATATCAAAAACCCAAGGAGCAGAAGCTTCACCATACCCTACCCGACACCTTGCCGACTTTGGAGATGATTCAAACCCTTCCCTCTCCGAGTCAACGGGACACCCCATGCAAGAAGAGACCAGGCTTTTTTTTTTTTTTTCCCAGAGATTTTTTTGTCTTTTTAATTTCATCTTGGTATGTGATTTCTGACAGTGTGTCAGCATCTCCCGCCGGGTCAGCCATCTCCAGACCCTGCTACATTCAGTGTCAGATCGTACGGTGGCGATGAGCCAGTGTTTTGAGCCTCACAGTCACTTGCATGTCTTTACGGGTTGTCGCTTACATCATTTGTGAACAGCAGCACAAAAGGACACAACGCATGAAAACGAGAGTGGGGATGAGGTGAGGGTCAGCTGAAGGCTCGACCCTAAGGAGAACTTTCCCCAGGTTCCCACGGCTCCTGCAGGATGAACCTGAGCACGGGGTGGGAAATGTAGGGCTCTCCCTCCTTTCTCCTTTGCCCGAGGGTGGCGATACCGGCTGCAGTGTCTTCCAGAGCCAGGACAGCAGCTCACACTGGTTTAGCACCCATATTTGAGGGTACGGGATGGAGTTGCTGGCGGAGGCAGGCTGGATCCTGCCGCGGGAAGGAGAGAGGTGATGCAGAGAAGCAGAGCTGAGCCCCGATGGGCCGGGATGTCCACCAGCTCCAGCAGCGTCGTCCACCCTGCACCGACCTCCTGGACATGTCCAGCGGTGGGGACAGGACCTGGCCACCGTGCTGTCCCCATCGATCTGCTGGCGGAGGAGCAGGTCCCTGGAGCCAGCCCTGCTTTGGGTTTCAACTGCACCTCAAAACCAGCGGGGCAACCTGAGAGCACCAAAAATAACCAACCCCGAAACCCAAACCTATCGCCTGAAACGAACTGATGTTCCTTCCCTGCCACTGGGCTTTTGCAACCTAAACATAACGTTTATAAAAAGTAAATTATTTCATCTTATAACTTAAGTGCATTGAGTATTTCCTTAAATATGGTTCACGCTGAAAATAAAGTTACTTTTGCTGTACAGTAAATTTCTGATAGACTTAGAAATAAACTTTGTTGATACAATCTGGCAGGTGTGGCTGTGCAGTACATCACCCACAGCCCCACAGCTCTGCACACACACACGTGCGTGCCCACACACACACATACACACACGCAGCCCCCTCCCCGGGGACGGGGACGATGTTAGGGGTTTCTAGCTTTCTATATTCGCACGGGAACATCTATCTTAAAAGTCCCTGTGTTTAAACAGCGAGCGCTCAAGCTGGTCGAGGGAACAGAGGAAAAACCCCACAGCAAAATTTTCCCTGTGTTGCCCCAAAGCGTTGTCAGCTTTTCAAATTTCAAAGCCCAGCCGATGCTGCGGGCTCCCCCCGTGAAGGTCAGCAGTTTGCTCTTTCCGCCGCTCGGACCGAAGGTGGTGCAGAGGGGATACGGCACTGGGATGCTCCCACGGGAAGGGTTTCCCCCTCCCCCTGCCTTTCCCCCCTGCCAAAATGAGAAATTTGGTTCCCCGTTTGAAATTTGAAAACCCACCAGCCAGCTGCAAAAACCACTCCTGTCCCTAATCCTAGGCTCCTAAGAGAAACATGAAACTATGCAACCCATAACTTAACTCGCTCCTTGGGAATCCCAAGCTACCACATATTGTTTGACAGCATCCCAGGAGTGTCGCTTCCCCCTCCCTCCCAATCCCTCCTGGGTCCCAATCCCCCCTGGGGCAGCGCGGTGGCATCGGCTGCCCCGTGCCGGGGACCACGCCACGCTCAGGAGGTGAAGTAGGAGTTCTGCATGGAGTAGAGGTGGTCGATGGGGTTCCCCACTCGCGCCTGGAGTGGCCCCGCGTCCGCTGTGGCGAGGAAGCAGTCGCCCAGGTTGCTCAGTGAGGTATCATCGCTATCCAAGTCGTGGAAGAGGGGCTCGGCACCTTGGGAAGCAAGGAAGGAGCAGAAGGACTTCAGAGCCTGCTTTCTCCTCCGGCACCTTGGCAGTGCCGGGTACCCCCAGCTTT